TGTACAGAGGCAGCGGCGGATTCTACCCCGACCGTTTTACAATAATTAATGGCATTCCTAGGATGTAACATAACATACTTTACATTGTCCGCTATAGAAAAAGAAACACTGCCACCTTGAACTTTTTGAGAAAAAAAACTTTTTGAGAAAAAAAAACATAATGTGGCAAATTTGTTTCTCTTGCCAACAGAGCATTAATCATGCTCAGATTTCCCGCGTATCACGGCGATACCGCGATCACGTCCTCTGGATGGCTGGCGCGCGCTGCATAATCTCCCCTCTTCAGGAAAAAGTAGGATCGAACTTTTAACCTTAAATTTTCCCACGGCCTACGGGGTCTGTGTGTGCCGCCGGAAGTTGCAATGGTTGATGCGGATGCATGGCAAAGGCAATGTATGTTGCAGTGAGCACATATCAAATGCTGATATGTTATCCCCATAGAACACTGTACACTACAGACAATATAGCGATAAACAATGCTGTGTAGCAATAGGGATTATCGATCTGTCAACTTCCTGAACAGCAACACACGCAGCATGCATACTGGACTCTGGGCCAGGGACCTCGAGGGAGGTCATCAATGACTGTAGGCTAACAGCTGCAGGGCCCGTGGCATAAATGACTATAACAGTTGCAGGGCCCAATTTCTTAACAGCTGATTGTGTGCTATGATTATATGCACAACTTTTCTGCTAACGGTAAAGGTCCTGTCACACTGTCTGCGATCTTTTATGCGCTCTCACTGCGTCCTTGAAAAATAGCTGGGGCGCAAAAACAACTACTAGATCGCAGTGACAACTACATAGGTTGCCAGATGGGCGACAGAGGGTCTTAATGGTCTCCGATGAGCGCCAAGGTCTTTGAACATGCTCAAAACAATCGCAACACCTCTGCGCCCAGGCCAGGACGACGTAATGACGTATCTCGGGCGCTGTGCGAGCGTGAATCGTGCGACATTGAAGTGGCATTGAGGCAGCCTAGGCGCAAGGTAGTCGATGTAGTCTCCATGAGAAAGTAACTGGACTGCGATGAACTTGTAGAATAATTTTGAAACTGGACAGTGTATTGACCGTTTTGTCGTGGTATTTATACAGCGCAAGTGACGTCACATGAGCGTATTTTGGTCGAATAGAGAGCGCGATGCGAGCTACTAGGACGTATCAACAGCGAGCAGAGCGTAATGTGAGCGCAGTGACAGCGCAGCGGTAGCGACTAGATCGAGTAATTGAGCTTGACAGGGGCGCATAGAGAGCGAGTTGCGGAGTGCATCGTAAGCGTGGGAAGAGCACAGTATGAGCGTAGCTTGATGTTTCTTTAAGACAGCGAGTTGTCATTTTCTTGCGTCCTCGCTGCGACTATCAAATTTATGAAATATTTTTTGGTCGCCGTAAGGTATCCGTTGAGATCGCATATAATGCGACAGGCCCTTAACCAAGCTCAACACAACACCTACCAGCAATAGCGGATCCCACGACTCCACCCAGCTATAGCAGGTGACGCACAAAGCGCGTGCCACGTCTTCGCCGACTTAGCGGGTGACGCGCAAAGCGCAACATCCCGCTAGTCGTACTATTGTTTTAACATCACGTATCGTAACTCGACGCTACGGTCGTGAGATCTGAATCACAACAGGATGGCGACCGCAAGCACGACAAGATGTTCACGGATTTGAACAGGAAATTTTCTTCTCTTCCAAACTGTTATGCTAGTTATGCTAATAAAGTGCCACCATGTTAATTCTTGAACTCTACAAAATCCCGAGGTGGCATATTTGGCACTTAGGCTAGGGGTCTGATTTGGAGCTAAAATTCGATGATTTGTTTTCATGACCCAGGAAATGTTCTTCCTCGGATTCTACTATCACCAATTCATGACCTTATTAAAAGGATCTTGTACCACTGTAGAGTCCTAGTTACTTGGACTAATTGTGTACAACCGAAAATGTTAGTTGAGAATACCCCATCGCAAGCTCGTCAAAAAAATCTTGGTTGCACAAAACTAATGCGTGTAACTGAAAAAATATGTTCGAGAGACACTCACCGTGAAAACCCTGCTCACGTCAAACAGGAAGCCGTTCGGGGAGCAAATTCTTTGGACGGACGTTACTACCTCGTCCACGGCTCGGCGGCAGTCTCTGTCGAACTCCTCGGTCCCGTTTTGGATGTTCTCGTCATACCACGTCTCCAATTCCGTAGGATCCATGCGCTCACGCCAAGGCAATTCCATTCTTATGACAGCAGCGGCCATCGCCTCACTGATTTACGAGTTAAATTATAGACAACAGACTCCTTCCGTAGAGGTGCATACACGAGGTAGGCTGAATGAGGTTATGAACAAATTGTGACGGAACTTGTAGAGAACCCTTGAGCACACGCCTTTGGGCTGAAATATCATTATCATGTTGCAATTATGATATCACGAAATCATGCCTCGGATGTACTGATGATGAAATCAGACTGGGAAATTGTACAGAATCCCAGATGCATTGCGCAACTAAAATGGATGCACTGTTGAGTGTTGACGGAGTACGCCGGTCTCTCAATCTTACATTGTACATACCCAAACTGCCCGAGTACCAGGCAAGACAGGGGAAAAACCCCGATGAGAAATATCAGGATGTGTTTCAGTACAGTTAATTGTACAGTTCAAGGTCCGCCTGCAGCTTATTAGTACCGATGAGAAATGTTCAGGGTTTCGAATTTATGGCTATTAATTGTACATTCTGAAGGAGGAGCGAATGGTTTTGCTCACATTGGGTGCGTTAGTTTAGCTCACCCGGGTCGACACGGGTAAAGGCAGACGGGTCAGCCACGACAGCCGGGCTAATCGAACGCTCAACCTCGGGCCATCTTCACGTGACGCCCTTAGCCGTGGCTGTAGCCACTGACAAAACGCCCGTTTCGGATTGGGTCTTAGTTTGAGATTTACTGCTTTTAAGTCAATTGCAAAACTCCAAAAAGTTGGGCTGAAATTATTGCCTCAAAATTTGCAATGAACTCAATAAATGATTACCTTTAGACTTAAAAAAGTCAACTTTAAAATCCAAGCACTTGAGATTTTCGCTGTCCGGCCGCCATATTTGTCCGTTTCTAGGGGATGAACAACGCATGCGTGAGGAATTCCACCAGTGACTCTGCTCCACGAGCAGGGTCTGTGGTGGCTGACCCGGGTGAGCCCCGAGAATGACGTCAGAGCTAATCGAACGGCACGGGGCTGACCCGTGTCGACCCTGGTGAGCTAAACGAACGCGATCTATAATAGACGAATTTCAAATTAACATTGAAACCGATGCTCCAAGTACAGTGCTAAGCACTTGTGTGAATTGAGGACTTTTTCTTGATTCTAAACCTCTCTACAAGAGAGGGCACTGGGCCTTTGGTTTCAGTGCCTATTTGAAATGTGTCAAATGAAAGGTCAAATAATTCTTAACTGACGTGGCGTGTAGCACTTATTTCTGTAATGACCTATCACGCTGAACAGAAGAAGCCCGATTTAATATAGTAAGCAAGTAGTGGTTCTCGTGACTCGGACTCGCACTCGAGTCCGACTCGAGTCCCATTTTCCGTTACTCGGACTCGACTCGACCTGCGTGACTCGGGACTCGACCAAAATTACCACAACAATTACATAAATTATGTTGAAGACGTTTCTCTCCTGAGCACGCGATACGGTCAGTGCGGTGCAGAAAAAGTATTGTACACACAGCGCGTGCATATGCGGCTGTCTCGTTTGCGATATATTGATTTGTGAAATCAATGCATCGAAACATGTGTCCAATCCCAGCGTCCAAGCTTGATATTGCATAAATGCAAGCTTGATAGTGTTCAGTACCAGATTATCCTTTCCAGACACTGATGCCTTGCCTTATTTGACATGTTATACATTTAGTTCCAGTTCGTTTTATTAAATTAGAGAAAAGCTTCGAAAATTGGAAACATTTACAAAGTGAGGTTTTAGCAGTACCTCAAAATTGATTTCCATTATATAAAGTGTGTCTCAAAACAAAATATAACGGAATGCCAGACGTAGAATGTGTAAACAACATAGATAATGTAGATGTTGTGTAAAAGATACGCCTTTCCACTTTAAAATGAGACATCAACCGTCCAAATCTGTTGATTTTTGACAGAGTTATGAGTAATTTTCCAAGAGAGGTCAAATTGACATATTTGGTGACAGCTTCATGTACATCCATTAACTGTACCATTTTGAAGAAAAGCGCCAGCAAAGACCACACGCTAAAAAAAACCCACTCTGACCACGGTTCCATTGTTCAACAAATTTATTGAAATCGCGTACTGATGTGAAGCAGTGTAATAACAAATAAAAACCTAGTCATGGTGACTGACTCACTTGAAGTTACTGACACATTTAAAAAAAAAAAAAGGCAAAACCAATTCCGTGTGCAGACTGGAAAATGAGCCACTTCAATGAAAATGGCATAACTCCTCACCACAGCCACTAATTTGAAAAATTCAAAATTCCTGTGGAAGACAAGGTAATAACCATTCATAATTATGGAACACTCAGTTTTGTTTCTCAGTATACTGTATTTGCCACAAAAAATGGTGAACTTGGGTCCAGATCATTCTGATTCACCCTGTTTATCTTAAATTCACAATGTTATTTATTAAACGAATGATTTGGTTTAATTAATTTTGTAAATGCCCATATAATATTGTTTACGTGCAATCCTTAAAATAAATATTAGTGAGGAATTAGGTGTGGTTCACATGAGTAGGCTGTAGGTTCATAGGTTTTATTCTCTTTGTTTAAAAAGTCGCGTATCTAGAGCGGTATTTGGGGGGGGGGGGTTTGGGGGGGTTGCAACCAGTTCAGCCGCTGACTCATGTTGTGACCAGTAAAACAGGGCAAAATAATAAATGGAATGCTGCAACTCCTAAATGTATTCTCAAATTGCCTTAGAATGCAGGAGAAAGCATCGTTGATTTAAAAATATACTGAGGCATGCCCCAGATCCCCCCCCCCTTAGCAGGGTGTGCCTTTGGCACACCTTCACTTTAACCCCCTTCACACCCCCCTCCCCGCGTTTCCTAAAAGCTACATCTTCCCTATTACAGGTTAAAATAAAGAAGGTATACACAGCTTTCGTGTTCGCCTCCCCCAAAAATAAATTACAAGCTTGTTTTCGTGTTTAATTGTTTCAGCATTAGCTTTGCATCATAGTATTTGTAAAGAGAAACTGTTATGCTGGTTTGATTGTAATGGCAGGCCCGCATGAGTCACATTTTTGGGGTTGGGGTAGCTGTGGGGATTAGGGATATGGTCACGTGGCTTCCGGTGTGTCGTTAGGGAAGACTCGTCACTAGTTCCAGCCCTGGCGAACCTGAACGCCTTGCAGGAGCCTGGATTGGAGCGCCGACTGGGCAGCTGATCGCACCAGACGCATGTTGTCCCCTTCAGTGTAGAGACTGCAGACGTTGTCAGTTGGCTCGGATGGGTCCAACACAATGGGTCTGGAGGAAAGGCACAACATAATATGGTGGCGTAAGTTGACAGCAATATGAGGTCAATGCTCATTTTAAGAGTACTTGGTCCTACGAAATTATACACATATTTTTTTTTGGACATGAAATTCGCCAATCACAAAGAGCAGCTCGAGGTTGTTGCTTAAAAAAAAACAGAAGAAAATTCGCCAGGAGGAGAAATTTAAAGGAGGAAAGCAAGAAAATGACTGAGAGCTACTGTCAGGCAATGCCATGGAAGAACACAAAAAATGCAACCGGACCTAATTTCTATGCATGAACATGGACAGGTCTGACTTCCTCTCCCTATTCTCATCGAACAAGTTTTATGTCGCATCGGGTCTGTTGCAAATTGCTTCTTAAAAGCAACTCATCTAAGGTAATGTAGTATTTCCATTTTGCATGTTCTTTAAAAGAAGTATTTTTATTGCTTCATACCTTCGCATTTGAAATCGAGTGATCACATCCTCTGCCCTCATTGCGTCGTAGTGCAGTGTCCAGTACACTCGCAACTGCGACAAATTGCTGAGCATAAGCATGACGGCCCTCAGCCCCTGGGCCTTGTCGAGGCGCAAAGGCCTGCCAGCGCTCTCCCAGCAGTGGATGGTGATCAGCTCCAGTTTGTAGGACTTCTGGAGACCCTTTGGAAGGAACTCATACGACCAATACTTAACCAGGCGGATGAGCGCCTTTACCGCGGTCGGCTGCCCCTTGACGAATGCCAACTGGTTCTCGATCACGGCCGGGGAGTAGTACAGCCGGTCGCTTCGCTGCTGTCTCAGCATAGCGTCAAACAACTTCTTCACATTATCTGGAGGAATAGAAAGGAGTTTGCATACTGGGTGAATGTTGTGCAAACACACTGGAGTTGAATAATCGGGTCATCAAATGTGACAATATAGTGTCAAAGAATACTGTATCTGGATCAAATATCTGAATAATTACTGCAGTGGTTACATTCACAATGATGGGCGATTTTTATGTTTAATGCATTGCGTTACTTTTGAATACACAAAAATGTAAACAAACCTGCAACCCCCAGATGACAGTCGGCCGTAGCCATGAGGTCAATGCTCACAGAGCCACTCCGAGGGCCGATATTGATGAGCTTGAACGTAATCAGGAATCCCTTGTTATCAATGGATCGCACGTTCTGCAGCTGTCCAAGAGCCCTCGCCATGTCTTTGAGTACTTCAGCGAGCTGTTTCTTGTATTCCTGCGGTCCAACATCGATGATGGGCTGCAGGTGGGGCGGGTTGACGAACGCCACGAGGTCCACGTCAGACAGGTCTTTGACCACTGTGCCCTTCCCGAGCGAGCCACTCTGCACAAACATAAAAAACTCCGTCTCAAATTAATTTGCATCTTCAAAAAGTTAGAAATGACAGCTGTCAAAAATTGCATATCATCTTTTTGAGACCTAGCGTCACGTCATTGGAGGAGTGCACTATCTGAGTGAAGTCGTCTATCACTATTTACCTAGTCTGGTTCCCAGACCAAAAGATTCTGACTTTTCCTGATGAATCTTAGGTCCGGTAGCCTCCGGTAATACATTGTATTACAATTTAGGTCACGTGACTAAAACGGGAGGAATTCCTCCTTTTTCCGAAAATTTCCGAAGTTTGCCGAAGTCGTTTCGTCGACAATCGGATAGCGCCCGAGTATTTCTGAGTATATAATAATAGGTTTAATTAACTGCTAATTGCTTATTAATTTTATTTTAAATGAGTTGATAATTAATATTCATTGCTTTCATTTAGAAAACTTGAAATTCAATGACGATTTTGTGCATCAAATATACTCGGGTCGTATGGGGCGAACTTTTTGCTGCGTCATGTACAATTTTGAATTTGACGACCGTTACCGAGATTTTCCAAAACTCGGTCTTCATTCGGCTCCGCCTGCTTACAGTGCTATTTGGGTGCCTAATTTTGAAGATTCCAGATCAACATTAGTCAATGTTACAGAAACATCAAATTGAATTATCATAACTGTATGATATTACTAAGCAATTGATTTATTTAAAAGCGTAATCAGAACATTAAAAGCTACAAGCGATAAAGCGAAATCGGAAAAGAAGCCGAGCTTTGAAAAAGGGCCATCAATGTCGTCATGTTTATTTTTATCCACGGAGACTGCCTGACCTAAGATTCATCAGGAATAGTCAGAATCTTTTGGTCTGGGAACCAGACTAACTATTTACCCTCATATTGTGTCCACCTTATCTCAAAACGTATAGCAAGGGTTCATTTTTTTTCAACAATAGGAGGTCATAGTTTAACGATATAGAAGGCGGTTATACACAACGGGAGGTATGGGATAAAATAACAAATTAAAAACAACAAGAATCACGATATTGGTCTTTATCGTCTTGGTATATCGCTATATGTAGAAACAACATGCAGTATGAGATGTCAGTAGACTGAGCGATGGAGGAAAGGTAGTAAAAGGAAGTGAAGGTAGGCCACAACCGGTCAAGTATAGGAGAGTGGTCAGAATTGATAATTGATGAGAAAAAAAGTTGGAGGAAAATGCTCCCTCGTCTCCACCTCGATCTTTCGCCTATGCGTAGCACCCTCACACAATGTAATCCTGAAGGATCGATGCCCATCGGAACTCCCAGTTGGTTTTTTTGTTATCCCCGTCCGTCAAAAAAAAAAAAAAAAAAACCCAGACTTGCATACCTTGACCACCCTGTCGACATCAAATGGGACAAGGTTGGACGAGCAGATCCTGTGAATGGAGGTGACGACATCGTCGATGGCCATGCGGCAGTGAACATTGAAGGAGCCCGTCCCTTCCTGTAGGCTGTTGTACCACTCCTCAAGCTTGTCAGGAGACAGGCACAACGGCTTCCTCTGACTTCGATAGTATGCCATAGTCCAAGGTCTGTCCAATAACATGACGGACACAATATGAGGGCGCCTTTTGGAGTTGGTACATTTAGGTACAAAATACGAACAGCGCCCTCCCATTGGGTCCATAATCTCTAATAAGGCCAAAATATATGTAAAAAATTATGTGATCAAGTCAAGCACGAAAGCTTAATACTGTCCCTGGGTACAAAGTGAAAATTCCTAATAAGGCTGTGTTTGGGAGGGTTACAAAATGTAACTTCAAATTTGCCCAAATTACCGTACCCTCCCCCTTTAAAACAAAACTATTATAAATACGATATAATTGACAATAATAAAAGATATTACATGTCTGTAGAATCCAATACGCAGGAAGACGACAATTCAGCGACTCATAAGCTTTCCTATGGTTCATAATTATGTTTGGACGGATATCGCCCCTTTTACAATGAACTAACCTACATGTGAGGTATAAATCGTATAAATGTACCACCGATGGCTAGCGCCCTTTATGTAGCTGGGTTGATTGAAATACAGTCTATATTGTCTTCTGGACTGTTCGGAATAATTCCATAGAGCTAGCTAGCTATAACTCTAAAAAAAAAAAAAAACAACAACAACAACACACACGTCAGGCTAAAGAGTCCACAGCAACTAAGTTCGTCACAAATTTATTCATTAATCTATCCGACATCTTTACATGAGGTTCGGGGTTAACAATCACCCCTCCCAACCTCCCAACCCCAGTCCATCCCCCCCCCCCCCCGCCAACACGTCACGAGCGATGTGCTGATTGTGTGGTATAACATAACATAGTCACAACGATAAATGAATAAACATAATTTCCTACAGAGTAATATCAGAATTGCACGTGAGTTGCAGATTAGAAAAATGAATCATATACTCTATCAATCAGTGGAATATACTACCTTTTCTTCTGACTTGCAGCAATACTGGTGATGCTTAATGCAACTAAGTGTAAAAACTCGACCACATCGGAGGAAAGGAAATAATTATGAGGGTAAATCTAACAATTTCTCATCGCTGGTTTTCCCAATTTATACCGCACATGCAACATCAAACCAGACAGAATACCAGCACATGAGCGCGGAAATTCCCCGATGAGAAATAATTTATTACGAAATTCAAGGTGCATGCGCGCAGCGCGCGTGGGCCCATGGAAGTGCACTGACACAGACTACTTTTAATAAATATGTGGAATGGCTCGCGTGGGAACACGCACTGACACATAATGTAGCATGGTACATTGCAATACTGATCAGGCATGTTGATTTAATACTCTGGGAATAAGGCAAAGTCTGGTTTACCACACAACAGGGGCGGATCCAGGAATTTTTGCAGGGGGGGGGGGGGTTCATCAGCAAAAAAAATCTGAAATGTAGACAGGATTTTTTTCTCCGGACACTTGGCCTCCGTAACATCAAAAAATTGGGGGAGGGGGGGGGGGGTTGCTGGTACCATACTTTCCCTGGGGGCGCTGTTCATATCCGACGATTATTAACACTATATTACAGAATAGTGTACAAATTCCCACTAACCAAGCTGGCTCTGTCCGTATTTTGTACACAGGTGGACATTATTACCAGTTTAATTTTTTTGGGTGTCAGAGCGGTGGGGGGGGGGGGGGGGTGCATAATTTTTTTTTGAATTTCTAAGATTTTTTTTTTTTTGTCAGACCTTGGTTTTTTTCTTACCCCTGGATCCGCGCCTGGACAACGTACATAAAGCAGGGGCGTAGCAATTTGGTTTTTTTGGGGGGGAGGGGGAGGGGTTAAAAATGGGCACTTGTTTAAAAAAAAATGGGGGGGGGGCACACTTGTTGAAAATTATTGTTTGAACCATTTAGTTGAACCATTTAATAATGACTGGATTCGAGTCGGACTCGAATAAAAATATTTGGCAACCCAACTCGACTCCAGTAGGCCTACCGACGGGTAACTGACTCGACTCGAGTTAATGCAATCAAACGACTCGACTCGAATCGAATCACACATCAAAAGACTCGACTCAACTCGAGTGGAAGGTTAATACCACTCGCGTCCCAAAACTGTGCGAAAATATATTTGCATTATACAAAGTTGTGGCCGCATTTCCCAATTCTTGGTTTCATCATCGGTTTCGGGCGAGCCCTCGACTCGACTCGATTTAAGTCACTTTCTTAAAATGACTCGACTCGACTCGAGTCACAAAATTCAGTGGCTCGTTACAACTCCGGAACTTCCTGGATTCAAAACGCTGTGTCATATAACAGCCGACACTCTGTTTCGTCACACTGTCAATAATGCCCGTCATGTGACTGTTCCCTTTTGCGTTGCACGCGCCCAAAATGTGCGTTCAAAGTTTCGTCAGAAAGTTCAGGCAAACGTCAGGTCTGGGTTTAATTAAAGTTGTCTTTTTCACAAAGAAAATTGTCTTGGATCAAATAGTCTTTTGTGTCATTACGCATGAAATATTTTATATTTGCAACTCAAAGTCACCGCTGGGGGCGCTATGTTTAACAATTTTTTTTAGAATATATATATTTTGTTGTGATTTGGTCCTCATATTAGAATTGTTCATGGAAAAGTGGTTAAAATAAAGGCATGGCGGTAAGAATATTACAAGATTGGAATTTTCGTTGAAAGAACTTCAAATGACAACCCCGAAAAGCATATTAGGGTCGGCCTAGCCTACACATTTTGAAAACACCGATTTCGTATTCAAGGTGTGTTTTAATATTAAATCCATTGTTTGTTGTTTAGTTGTTGGTTTCATATTTGACTTTGGCATTGCATGGATTCTAACCCGAGCGAACCCGGTTTATATTATAAACAGGTTATATTATAAACCGGTTTACATTATAACCCGGTTTACATTAATTAACCGCGTTATATCCCGGTTATGATGTTCGCTCGTACCCCCCGCCCAGCAAACAGGACGCTGGGATACTCTGATGAGCTTCACAGAATCTTGTGAAGGAAGTGGCCTATAAAGCATCTGGCTGCAGCTGTTCAAGACTGCAGTTAGACAATGTGCGCAAATGCTGTCCGAAACTTCCCATAGAAGTGCACACATTCCATACCGGATGTGATTTCTGTTTCATTGCGGACCATGTGGACAAAATTTTGAACGTCGCATAATGCAATTCGACCGTTCATGATTCGAAACGGAGCCTGAGCGAGTGACGGGAATTGTAAATTTACAACACAGATAAGTTTTACAGAATTTCCTACATTATTACGCTTTTCAACGAGAAAAAAACATCTCTAAGGCCAAAAAAAAAAAAGTCTCCGGTTTCTGGTATGGAGCTTGCCCAAAAAGTGGTGCGGCGACGCGGCTTTTTTTTTTTTTTTTACCTGACTTTTTTGCTTCAAATGTCGGCTGATGACTGCAAATGGTGCCCGACTAAACTTAGTGCAAATATATGGGAGTCCAGAGAGGCCACATAAAGCTTATTCTCGATCATAACCCCATCTAAAAACACGTTAAAATTGTGCAGCAGCAGGATTCCAGTCAAACCAGTGAGTTTGGAGGTTTTGAGACATCATCTTTCATTGAAAAACAAACTTTTTCATTTTGCCGACGCGCATGGCTACGGCGACGCGCGCGCATACCAGAAACCGGAGACTTTTATTTTTTGGCCTAAACTGGAATAAAAGAGTAATGAATCAGTCTTAACGGCCGTTTCAAACCTTGCAGAGTCATGACCTTGATGACGCGCAGGTCACTGGTCACGCAAAATCAAACCAATCAGAGCGTGAATTCATCATAGTCTGGTTCCCAGACCAAAATATTCTGACTATTCCTGATGAATCTTAGGTCAGGCAGCCCTTTTTCAAAGCTCGGCTTCGTTTCCGATTTCGCTTTATCACTTTTAGCTTTTAATGTTCTGATCAAATTTGTAAATAAATCACTTGCTTCGTAATATCATACAGTTATGATAATACAGTGTGATGTGTCTGTAAGATAACATTGACTAATGTTGATCTGGAATCTTCGAATTTAGGCACCCAAATAGCGGAGCCGAATGAAGACCGAGTTTTGGAAAATCTCGGTAACGGTCGTCAAAATCAAAATTGTACATGACGCAGCAAAAAGTTCGCCCAAACGATCCGAGCATATTTGATGCACAAAATCGTCGTTGAATTTCAAGTTTTCTAAATGAAAGCAATGAATATTAATTATCAACTCATTTAAAAAATGTATAATAAGCAATTAGCGGTTAATTAAACCTATATTATACTCGGAAATACTCGGGCACTATCCGATTGTCGACGAAACGAATTCGGCAAACTTCGGAAATTTTCGGAAAAAGGAGAAATTCCTCCCGTTTTAGTCACGTGACATAAATTGTAATACAATGTATTACCGGAGGCTACCGGACCTAAGATTCATAAGGAATAGTCAGAATCTGTTGGTCTGGGAACCAGACTAAATTCATCAGAGTATCCCAGCGTCCTGTTTGCAGGAGGGGGGGGGGGGGGGGGGGGGGGTACGAGCGAAGTTTCGATGCCGGTATTATGTGACGGCAAAGGCTGACGAATGAGTAGGTGAATCTCGTCATAAGATGCCGATCCTAGTGACGTAGAAAGCCTCTGACACAGGTTAGGTATCCCGATTTCCCTTTCATGACCCAGTTTGTTTACACTTCTAAATAATTAAGTATAACCAAATAAAGTTAAATAAAGTCTGTCATGAGCAAATGTGGCCCATCAGGCCGGTGCTTATCTCCAGTTTCAGTAGCATGAAACGACTGAGAATGTTTTTATTCCCCCTGGATGGGATGCTTGTCCATCGCTGGTTACTCCCAAGCTAATGCCGGTACCCATTTATACTCCTGGGTGGAGAGAGGCAAGTGGTTTGAGACCAAGGAAGCAATATCTGACCAGCAGCTGGATTCGAATCCCTGACCTTCTGATAATGAGTCATGAACCCTAACCACTAGGCCACACTCCCCCACAAAGCAAGCAAGTAATGAAGCAAGAAATGAATCAAAGTTTTTAAAACACAATCAAAGAAGATGGATGATCTCGAACTATTACGGAGGCGGACATTTGCAAGAATTCATGAACACTTGTAATGTTGCAGTGGTAATGTATATTTCGCCGTGTATATCATTCATTCACAATAAGTTTACGAACGAGGAAGCATCGAAGGATAAAAAGGAATAAGAAATAGCCTAGGTTCAATGAATCACCAATGATTTTAGGGATTGGATTGGAATACGCCACTGGGCGAAAAAAAAATCACAATATAAAATAAAACAGTCATTGTAGAACCATTATAGCTGTTACGCGCCGCCCCAACAATATATGTATAGATATGGTCCCAATTAGAGTTGGACAGTCCCAACTATAGTTGGGACGACGAGACAGTTGGGGCGTAACTTGGCTTCTGATGTATTGTTGACGCTGCCATTACTACATGTACATGTTCTGGAATGCAAATGTAAAGATCACCCTGAAAATGATATACATCCAGTTTCTGAACAAGGACTTTGATGTAATCTTTTATACTTTAGTTCAAATACACAATAGGATTAAGATTTTCTCTGGGACTTTTGTCCCCCTCCCCCTTTCCAATTTTTTTTTAAATCCTCGGATGCAAATCTTTCCATATTCCTGCACTGCTTGTAAGATAAATTCATGATTGATAGTAATGGATATGGTAACAGTGGACTTTGCCCTTTATCACAGATAATTAAACAAAATACATACTAATAATTACCATCGATACAAAGAAAACCAGGAATAACTAAAACATTCAGACAGGAACAAACAATATTGTTGCCTGTTGTGATGGGTCCATGGCGTTTGTACACCCATGGACCCCAATCACGGCAGGCAACAAGAATTGATTTGTTATACCATGGTAATAGTTTCCAAGCGTCTGAAATTGTAGGATTCCCTCCAGTTGCCGTGCAGTAATAGCGGAAGTATTATTTTGAAACTATCCGCGATTACTGCACCGTGAATATTCGCACAAATTTTGTTTCACTGAACAGGAACACAAATTAATTTACCTTTTCACTGAATAGACCAATCCATTAATCCCTGCCCCGTTACGAGCCAATCAC